TAAATGGTAGGCTGTGCTATGCAAACAGTAAGATTCTTGTTTGAGAGCAAATCCCTCCCCGTTTCCAGGGCTACCCTGGGAATTTGATAGAACAACAATGCAGAACTGAGCCCCTGGCGTTAGGACACGCGCTGAACGCAGCACCAGGGGGCCCGTGTGCAGCTGGCCGGGCCTCCGAGCAGGCAGGAGGCCTGGCACCCGCCCAGCATCACCCACAGACACCCTCCCACTCAGAGAGGCTGCCCAATGTTATCCTCGGATTGGCGCCCAGTCGCAGCCTCAGTGGCTCAGAGGGGCTCACAGCGTCCTTGGACTCCTGCCCAGGACTCCTTCCTCCCCTGCCCCACACACGCCACGTCCACCCCACCAGCTCCTCACATCCTAGTGCCTGCCCCCACAGCTCACCCTCCCTGCCAGGGCCCAGACTGAACATTAGTCCCAGGTTCTGGAAACACAGTCCAGGGAGCAACTCTGCTCTACTTCCTGGGCCCACATCTACCAGGGCTGGAGAGACAGCTCATGGATCCGTGGGGCCCACACGTGACCACTGAGCCACAGTTGGAGTCGATTACTTATGTTTTGTCAAGAATGTTTGCATCTGTAATTCCTTTGTGGTGCCATATTTTTCCGATTTCTTTGTGTTCAGAATATTTTATTATCGTATAAAACAAATTGGTGAGCTTTCCATCTTTTTCTATCACCTAGAATAGTCAAAACAGCCCAGGAGTTAAGTTTTCTTGAAAAGTTAGCTGAACCTCCCTGTAAACACTCTGTGGCTCCTGGGCTTGTAAACAAGGCACTTGAATTCCCTTTCCAATCCCTTTTCCGAGGAGGGTCTGTTTTAGCTTTCCATCTCTTCGTAGGTCAGTTTTTGTCATTTGACAAGAAGTCACTCATCTTATATTTGCCATGCATTGCCAAAGACTTACACATATGTTTGTTTAACATCCTCTTATTTGTGTAGGTTGTTTTATTAGTAGTATATCTGCTTCATATATATAGTTATATCTTCTTTACATATATAGTTACATTCTGTCCTTAATATCAGTTCTGTCCTTAATATTGGAGATTTTTGTTTGTTTCTCTTAATCCAACTTGCCAACAATTCATCTGTTTTATTGATCTTTTCAAAGAATCAACTTTTGTCCCTTCTCTCATTATTGTCTATTTTCTTGATTTCAGTTTTTATCTCTATTAACGTTCTCTTTTTGTTACTTTTTGCTGTTGTTGTAATTTTTCTGATTTCTTAAATAGAATAAGTGGTTTATTTGTGTTGGGACTTTCACGTTTAGTAGTAAAACCACTTAATGTTATCACATTTTCCCTAACTGTGGGTTGGTATGTGTCCCATAAGTTTTTGATATGAATCCTTTTCCTTTTTACCTATTGTCTAGGAGTCTCCATTTTTATTTCTCCCTGAATTCAAGTGTTACTTAACAGCATGATTATATGTTTGTGCCTTTTTTTGTTGCTTACCCCAGCTTCCGGGAGAGGCTGTGGATTTGAGCAGGGATAATGATTTTCTTTTGATCAACTTCTGGATGGATCCTTGTTTATGTTCCTGGTTTGTCAGTTGCTTGTTGCTTGTTTGCTTTTTTGGTTTGGTTTTGTCTGTTTGTTTGTGGTGTGTTTAGAGGGAAACTGGACAAGCTGATTGCAAGGTTTACAGGGGAAAAAAGATGTTTGAGATTTTCCAAGAACATTTTGAAAGAGAATCGTAAAACAGACTACAATACTAATATGGTCAAAGCAGGGGGGGGCTGGCATGGCATAGACACAGAGGTAGCAGGACAGGACAGAGTGCAGTGGGTCCTGTCACCATGAACCAGACCAGTCTCACTGTGTGGAGTGAAGGGCTTCAACCCCTTTATATCTGAGGACTCTCTGGAGCTAATTCTGTCCTGTGACTGGCCTGAGAGCAGGACTGGGCAGCTTGCCCAGAGGAGCACAATTGAATTCACCCATTGTCACCCAGTGAATAAAAATATATCAGGCTAAGAACTCCATCTCTAAGGGTCCAAAGGACGAGTCGGGGGGTGTTTGTGGTCTGTTCTGTCCTTCCTCATGCAACACACAAGATGTTTAATCAGGATCTATTCCCTCTGTTAGTGCTCAGATATTCCCTAGCCTCCACTCAGGAAATTCCATGCAAGACTTCATTCATAATAGCCCCCATGGAGGGGACATCTTAGAACCATGACACCCTTACAGTTATCCTCCCATCCTTCTTTTGGCCCTGACAAGACTCCCGTGAGATTGTACCATGCCCATGCCACACAGATGGGGAAACTAAGACTGAAGCACTCAATTCTTGCCCACAACCCAGGCTCTCCTCTGTCGGGCTCCCAGGGTAGGAGCAACTGGAGACCCCACTCAAGCCTGGGCACTCCGTGCTGAGCAAGAAGGACTGGGTTTGTTCTTTCCCGTAGTTTTAAACTCTCACACTGAACCCAGGATTTCGAGGCCTGCTTTGCCAACCTGCATGTCATACAGCATCAGGATTCAGGGCCAAAGGGACACAAGACATGGGAATGACTCAGTGGGACCAAGGGGGGTGTTCATTAAGGGCAAACCACTCAATTATTATGGTTCATTTGAATTCCATAAAAGCTGAGTCATTACAAGAGGAGCACAATGCTTTGTGTAATTGGTTTGGGACCTCTTAAACCTACCATGAAATCTTTAAGCTGAATTTAAAGGAAACTTCTGCTTTTCTACTGGAAAATGTCCACTCACAGAAAATTGTAATTTTCAAAATTTCATGGATGGGTGAGACATCACAAGTTTAGATACAAGCACTGTCTTCCTCCTTTACCTTTTTCTAAAATAAAAAAGAGACCTCAAAAAAGCATTTGCAGAGTTTAGTCACCCCTCCCCTGACCCAGCCTGGAACTGGAGGCCCCGTCACTGCCCCACCTGAGCTCAGTCCTCCTCTGGGAGTAGGTGATCTGGGCCACAGCATTTAGCAAAAATCTCCAGTGGGAGAATGAAGAGGAGGGCCATCCCACACACAGCACCCCACCCAGGAAGGGGCTGACATTATGAGTGACACATGTCTGCTGGAAGAAATAGGGACCCTGGAACTTGAGCCCAGGCCCCTCATGCCTTGGGCTTCCCCATACTGGCTCTTCCCTACCCCCTTTCCTGAGATGGCATCCTCCAGCCCCCAACCCTTGCTGGCCCTATCCCCGCCACCCGGGCTCCTGGGAAGGACTCTCCTCCTCCTTCCCCATACCCTCAGCCTACCCCACACACTCGTAATGTCACAGCCATTAGGTCTCATCCAAAAGGTCCTCTTTGGGTGGCTTACCTGACCCCTTGGGACACCCTGCACAGAAAACTGACATCCTCCTCCCTTTTAAAGCCCTCCTGTCCCTCTGGTCCCTCCTGTAACATATGCTTGACATAAGTTACGGGCTCCCTTTCCTTCTCCTTCTTCCCTCCCCCAGTCATCAGTGCCTTGGGCAAGGCTGTGATCAAGGCCCTCTGGAGCCTCCAGAGTGACCCCTCAAGACTGAATGCTGAAACTTCACCCCCAAACATACCCCCATCTCTAAATAAGACCCACACACCCAGCGGCCCAAGCCCGGGAGTGGATGTCACCCGCTCCTCTTGCCTGTACCAGTCCCTCTATTTCCAAAGTCCACATCATATTCTTCCACTTCTTGCCCACTTCTTGCTCCCTGAAATCCAGGTCACCATGGGCTCCCCCCAGCTCACCTCCCCTCTGCCCCTACTCTGCCCTCCTCTTTGGCCGTCCACAGCACGAGTACATGTGGTTCATGATTTTTCAGAGTCCACAGTCCCCAAAGGAACTGGCCACTTCTCCCATGAAAAACAGGAAGATTCAAAGGCTGGAGACTCACCAGCACCTTATGAGGCCAAGTTGCAATCACAGGCGGGGCCACAAGTTTCTAATGATGGACTCTCTGTGAAGGATCCTTCACACATTCTGGAGAGTTCTTAAGGCCCAACAGCTGCCAGCTCCAGAGCTCAGGGGACACAATAGGCATCACCCTCCCTCCTGGGGTGACAAGGAGGTGGCATCACAGCAATCGGGGGAGAAGGCCACCATGGAGCATATCGTGTGGGGCGGCTGGTATGGCCGGGCAGAGAGGCCAGGGGACAACAGTCAGCTTGGGGCAGAGGGGCATCAAAGGCAAAGGCCTGGAGGCAGCAGCCAGCACAGTCCCTGTGTGGCAGTGAGCAGGCAGCAAGCTAGCATGGTTGAAGAGCTCCTGGGTCAGTGTCCATCCTGAGGGCAGTGGGGAGTATTGCAGGCCCAGAGCTGGGTAGTGGCAGGGCCGTGTGGGGTGTGCCTGAAGACAGCAAGGATATTGAGGGGCTGTCACAGGTCCTACATGAATGATGGTGATTTGGTAGAGGGGCTGAAAAGAAGGCATGGGAGTGAGGGTGCAGGGAAGAAGTGGGAGGGGGTCATGGGCCATCCCAGCTTCCTGGACTCCAGAGTTCCTGAGTTCAGTGTAGGACCAGCTGCGTCCCCTGGATGGGCTCTGCAGTGGGGCTGGCAGGACCCAGAACTGAGGCAGGAGAATACATAGTGCAATTGCAGAGGCAGAAGAGGGAGGCAGGGCCTGGGCTAAATAGGCTCCATGTTCCTCAGGGAGGACTATCACGTGTTTGTCTCAAGGGCAGTGAGGCCCACCAAGGGCTGTAAGAAGCTCAGGGATGCCCTAGATGTGTGCACTGAGACCACTCTGGCCACAGCAGACAAGCTGTGAAGCCTGAGCCTTTGCCCATGCTGACCAACAGGCCTGCTGACCAGGCCCTCCTGACTTTCATCTCAGGTTTCCTGGAGGTCCACATGCCTTTGAGGTTACATGACAAACACAAACCACCTGCTCACTGCACACCACATTGTACCTGACGTGTTCCTGCCTGTTTACATCCAGTGTTACAGACCTGCAGGATGGTCTAGGCAGACCCTGGAATGCCCCCACCCCCAGTGTTTCCTCCCTCCTGTGTCTTCCTCCCCACAGGAACAACTGGACACCCTGCACCAGGCCCTTGACGAGAGCAGGAGGCACAGCCAGGACCTGGCCACAAAGGGGAGGCTGCTGAAGGAGCAGCTCGCCAGCTTGGAGCACAGATGCCAGGAGGCTGAGGGATTGCTGGAGCCCCTGAAGCAGGTGAGGGGTCTCCAAGAGGGCAGAATACACTGTCACCAGGAGGCAGTGAACAGATTTCCCAGGAAGCCCTAACCAGTCCTTCAACATGAAGGGATGCCTAAGGAGATGCTGGAGGCAGGTGTGCAGACCTGTGAAGACTCAGACACCATCCAGTCCCCAGATGACAGATGGAGAAACTGAAGCTGGAGGCAGCCCACAGGGAGTCAGCGGCCTGGGTTTCTTGTTGCACAATAAAGCACTCCTATGGCAGAGGGCTCAGCTGTGGACACACAGCTTAGGGGAAAAGAATCAGCTAAGGCCAGGCCAGCCTTAGATGGGACACCCCGGGACTCAGAAGCCCAGGGCCTTCCCAATACCTGGCCCATGCGCAGCGTCTCGATCCAGGTGCCCTGGCGGCGGCGGGACGGGCAGGAGGCGGCGGCGGCGCACGCGGAGAGGCGTGCCCTGCGTGGGCAGACGGCTGCTTTGCGCTCCGAGCGGGCGCGTCTGCAGGGGGAGCTAGCGGCGCTGCGCGCTCAACTCGCACAGGTACGCGCGGCGAACCGGTGGGGGTGGGCGGCCCTTGGGTGGGGGGGCAAGGAGGGAGGAGTTCCTGGTTGGGCTGCGGACAGACGCTGATGTGGGGGGCGGGGCGCTGGCCCAGGAGAGTTTCTGGGTCCGCACCTATCAGAGTCTACCCAAAGCCAGCTGGAGGCCTGTCAGTGGTGACACCGTGTGCTCTACCTGGGCTCTCCTTGGGGAGGTACCATGGTGGTGGCAAATTTCCCGGCTTGTCACCAGCGTCTGAGCCCTAGTTTTTCTAAAACCTGCGGTCTGTCACACCACACATCACTAGAACATCGACTCCCCTGTTCGTGATGAATAGGGCTCCCTGAACCTTGTTTTATGTCCTGCCCCTCTCAAAGCTCTCAGGGACAGTAACCATTGAGCTCCCATGAAGGATATGGGGGACAGGATTGACCACACAATGACAGGCCTGGAGGAGCTCAGTGGTCGAGGGGTGAAGTCCAAGTGATGGTCATCTTCCAGTCCAGTCATCCCACAACCTCCCAACATAGACTGGTGTGCAAGACAGTATCCCCAACTCAAAGTGGTCAGACAAACATAGACAACTATGTCCAAGGGTGGGCAGGACAACAGGTGGGCCAAAGAAGTGCAGGAAGAACAGCGAGGTGAGGAGGAGGGACAGAATCTGCCCGAGGTCCTGCTGGGCAATGATCCAGTGACTCTGGCAGGTGAACTCAGTTCCCAGGTGTGGTGGACCTGGTTCATATGTATGGAGCTCGTCAGAGTAGAGCCATATGGGTTGAAATCAGGGCTGGGGGATCACCAGGCTGACTGATAGGGAAACCGAGGCCTAGAGAGAGGAAATGGCATCCTGGGAACCAGATGGAACTTCTCCAGGGCACCATCCTCGGTTGTCACTCTTTGAGTTCTTCCAATAGGCACCTGCTGTGTGCAGGGGCCTCCCCCCTTACATCCCCTGAGAGGTAGCTCTGTTGTTCACTAAGTGCATCCCACACATACAGACACTCATACTAAGGTTTTCACTGTCTCCCACAGCAGGGGTGGGTGCATGCAGGTGTACCCACATGGCAGGTAAGGGCAGAGTGGATGCATGGACCCAGCCCAAGAGGGCCTCACACGATGCCTTCATCTCTCATCCTCCTCCACACCTCATGCCACCTGCATATTTGTGCTCCTCCCTGGTAGGGGGGCGGAGGGGGGCGGTTGGGGAATGGCTGTCCAAAGCTGGTGGGGCTAGACCCTGGTCTTTCTATAGTGTGGACTGTTTAAATGATTTCATGGGTACCATCAGGGTTCCAAGCAGTAGCAAGTGTGTGGCTCACATCCTGGAGTGGGTGGGAGAGGCTTGTGCCTTACATGGTCGTGCCCTACTCTTTGGGTCTGAGGTGCAAGGTGGGGCAGTCCTGGTGGTCTGAGGCCAGAGTCCCCACAGACTGTACCCAACTCCCTCTGGACAAGAACTCTTTCTGGAGGGGCTGCCCCCAGCTCAGCATCCCTGGGTCCTGTTACTCACTACCCAGGTCTCCTCATGGCCTCTTGGCCTAGTGGCCACTGAGGTCAGGGAGAGGCCATGGGAGAGCGTTTGGGTCACCAGCTGGGAGCACTAGCCCTGCCAACTGCAGGAATCAGCTGGAAAGCCAAGCCAGGTGTTCAGTCTATGCCACAGTCATGGACAAAACTCATCAAGCCTCCCACTCTTCTCTCAGCACCTAGGGTCCTTGAGATTGTCCTCCTTGGGAAGTCCCTTCTCCATCCCAAGGCAGATGTGGCAGAGCAGGAGCAGGGGAGGTCCATGTCCTTGGCCTTCTACCCATAGAGCCTAGTGGGCAGCCCCTGGTCCCTCTGCCATGGGGCAGGCCATGCACTGCAGCAACAGGGAGGGGTGTGTGTGTAGCCCATCCAGACAGACTCCAGCAGAAGGCTAGGCCAGGCTGTGGGCCTCGGGTCCTGACAGCCTCACAGCACTCTCCAGGGTGGGCAGGGTACCCCAGGGTAGAATGGGGCTACAGAGGAGGCAGCTGGAGGGAAGATGGGCATATGGAATGGGGGAGGGGAGAACGACATTTGCTGGGCTGGACCCCTGCCAGCTCAGGGTCCCCAATCATGAAGGGAGAAGGCAGGGGAACTCGAGGTGTGGGTGCTAAGGGCCTCAGGTATGGGCTCCAAAGGCCTCGCTGCTGCTTAAGCAAGGCCCCACAGCCCAGCCTGCCGAGGGTACAGAAGCCAGCAGAACAGGACAGTCATGAAAGCCATCAGCAGTTTGTCCCTGAAGGAGAGTTGACCAGCAGGATATAGGCACCAGGGCCCTGCCACATTTCCTGAAGGGAGCCCAGCGCTGAGCTGTGTAGCTGGTGTCCCATGGATGCTGCTGGGGGGTTGAAGACAGCAGGGTGTGCACCAACCCTGGCCTCAATGACATTGCCCTGGGACTGCAGAGCCAGCTGTGGGCACAGTGCCCACTTCAGGTCCCTGGAGCCCGGGTGGGGGAGGGAAAGAACAGCTAATGAGTTCCAGGAGGTCAGCTGTGAGGGGCCCACAAACCCATAAACCCTTTATTGGTGTCTCAGGAGGGGAAACCCGGATGTGGCCGTTTATTTATTTTGGATTTCACTTTTCTCTTCTCTTTATAACATGCACTTCCAGGAGGGTAACTGGATTTTTAAAGAAACAGGACTTCCTTTTTCAGTGGAGGGAGACTGTGTTTTTGTCAGCCCTAAAGAAGAAAGGAATCCTTATTTTTTTTTTAAAGCTCCAACCATTGACCCCAGAACTTGATGCAAACGATCCACCACATCTCAAGGCCCCTGAGGGGCTAGGCCTGCTCCAACCCTGAGGCCAAGAGGCCAGGTTTGCCTAGCACTGAGGGGAGGACTGACCTGGGACTCCAGTCCTGGGCTGTTGCCCCTGTGGACACAGCCCTAGTATGAATCGGAGAGCAGGGCCTGGATTCCAGTCCTGCCTCAGTGCCTGCCCAGATTCCATGAGCCTGTGATATCCTGGGACCCCATCCACAGCAACCACCCCTGGGGCATGCCCCAGGAAATCTGGGGTCACTGGCTATCTGGCTTGGTAGATAGTGGTCCTCTTCTAATACTGTCTCAGTGGAAGAGAATTCTTAGATTCAATTCTTTCTTTCTTCCAGGGGGACCATCCCCAAGGGCACAAACAAAGCCCCCACCAACCTTCGCATAGAAAGTGTTTCCTGGGTAACCTTCCCTATGTCTAACCTGTAGCTCATTCGTCCTGCCCTGTGCTCATGGGGTGCAGAGTGGGTGATGAAGAAGGAGACAGCTTGCAGCCTGAGGAAAACAGAGGGTGGGGGTAGTGATGGCAATGCCACAGACTTGTTGGGACTGAGGCAGCAAAGAAGTCCAGCTTACAGGGCCTGTGCCTCTACAAGCTCAGCAGATCCCTAGTGTGGCTGCAGGAGGCAGGCACTGAGGGTACTGGGTCATGGCTTGTGAGGCCTGGAGGAGCACTGAGAGGGGAACCTGAAGGGCAGGTCCTGGGATGCCACCCTAGGAGATGTGGAGTTCCCTGCTGAAGGTGTCGATGGGGACCTCTGCTGGTCTAGAAGGATAGGGACTTGGCACTGGGCTCCTTCTTAAGCTGTCACCCTAGCTGCTGATGTTGGGTGGACCTGGGTGGATCCAGGTATCCTGGCCCAGGGCAGTTCCCCTCACAATCCCGCCAGCTCTCAGGGGATTCAGTCCTTCCCAGAGGCGTCCCCATGCTTCCCAGAGGGAGGGCTGGCCTGACCTCATTCTCCTGTTAGGAGACCACAAGTTCTGCCCTCCCCCCACCTCCCTCCCTTTGGGCTCTCTGCAGACAGAGCAGGAGATGCTGAAGAGGGAGGGGGACGTGGCAAAGTTGGGGGCCAAGAAGGAGCAGCTGGACCAGTCCCTGAAGAGCCTGCACCAGGAGGTGGATGGAGCCCTGAGGCAAAACCAGCAGCTGCAGGTCAGCTGGGCCAGCAGAGCTCTGTGCACCCCAGCCTTGGACGTGGACCTGGGGTGGCATCCAGGAGGTTGTGGGTCCCAGAGGGGTAGATCAGTGTACCTCTGTCTCACATATGGACACACATATCTGTGCATGCATACACAGAACAGGCAGTTGAATCAATTCCTGCATGTGATGGGTGCAGAGATAAAGCCCAGACAAAAGTAGGGACCACCCAAAGCCACACTGGGTGTCAAGTAGAGTGGGAACAAGAACCTGGGGCTCCTTGGGCCCCCACTTGGCATTCCCTCCTGGGCTTCTGTCTTTCCTGAGACTTTGAAGTCCCCATGGGAGTGATGGGATGGTCAGGGCCCTTGTGAGCCAGGCCTGGGCTCTGCAGAGCAGCACAAGGGTCAAAAGAGGGAGGTCAGACAGGCCTGGAGGGAAGAGTCAGGGGCAGTCCCTGTGTTGGGGGTGGGAGAGTCTTGAGGCCCAGCGGGCTGACACCCACAGAGGCCCAGAGGTTTCATTCTTCCGCCCACTGCCAGACACACTTCCATCATCAGACAAGGAACTGGCAAGTGTGGGGGGATGAGCAAGAATCAACCCTCACTGCCTTCAGGATGCCCACCCTGGCAGAGGGGAAGCTGGAATGCCATTAGAACAGAATTCAGGTCTAACCTGGAGACTGTGATATGGGATCTGGCACCGCCAGAGTTGAACCCAAGACCTGTAGGCTGAATGTGTACATGAAACCCCAGGTCTGCTGGCCAGTCCTGGGCCAGCGCCAGCTCCCAGCCCAAAGTGGTAGGGCCGATAAAAGAAGAGCTGCCCCAAGAGGCAGGTGAACCATCCCACGGCACTCCTGCCCTGGGTTCTCTGCAGTCCTCCGGTGAGCAGACAGCAGGGAGGTGCCTGAGCTCTCGCTCCAGGTCCAGATGGCAGAGCTGGAGCAGGCCCACACCCAGCGGCTCCAGGAGCTGGCTGCCCATCACCAGCAGGACCTGGCCATGGAGGCAAAGCGTCTGCATGGGGCCCAGCTGCAGGCCACACAGGCCCTGGAGTCCTGTGAGCAGACCCACCAGCAGCAGGTGAAGGTGCTGGAGGAGCAGGTAGGACTGGGCCCCTGGCCTCAAGGGATCTGGGGTCACAGGCTATCTGGGTAGGGGGCAAGAGAGGCGAGGGGGTTTGGCATCCCTATGGCTAGGTCAGTGGGCTTCAGACCAGCTCTGGGCAATCCCCACACTTCTGTCTTCTAGAGGGCACAGGGTCTATCCCACACCTCACTGAGAAGTGGGGTATAGATTCTGGGGCAGGTCACCACCCTCTCTGAGCCTTTGTTGCTCTGTCTATAAAGTAGAGAGAACAATCCTGTCAGGGGTTGCTGGGACACTGAGTGTGGCTATATGTGAGATGCTGAGACCGTGCCTGGCACACACAGCTGTAGCAGAGGTGGCCCCTGCACCTGTCCTGCAGAGTCACAAGGAAAAGCAGCCAGCATATGTGGGGACAAAGTAGGTACAGTTAAGTGGGAAAGGAAACATGGCAGAAACTCGGGCATGTACAGGCACTGCATACCTGCACATGTGTATGCATATCATGCCTGTTCAGCGGAACCTCTGAGCCTCAGAGCTCAGAGCTGTTGGGACTTTGGAGCTATGTAGTCAGAATCCTCATTTTACAGATGAGGAAACTGAGGCCCAGAGAGGTGAAGTGACTCTCAGTGTCATCCCCAAGTTAGTGTCCCTGACCCACTAAGTCATGTTTGCTACATTTATAAGCCAAAGAATGTTTATTTTTCTATCATTCTGAGTGCTTTCACAGCCTGAATGGAAGACGGTTCATCCACTGTGGATGTGCAGACACTTTGGTCCCCAGGACCTCCATGAGTGGGTGCTCATGATGAAAGGTGGGACGAAGAATCCCTTCCCTGGCTTCTAGTGAGTCAGTCTGTCTATCTGCCTGATGTTTCTTTCCCAAGCACACCACCTCTAGGGAGCTGTGGACTGTGGCCTCCTAGCCCCTTCTGTAACAGAGATCACCACAACCCTGTGCCCTGGGGTCCCTGGCCATGGGGCATGTCCACCCCATCTGAGCTGCTGCCCTGTCCCCAGGTGGCCAGCCTAAAGGAGCAGCTGGATCAGAAGTGCAGCAGCGGCAGCAGGTCCACCTCGGCCAAGCCTCTCAGGCTGGACAGTGAGCCCTAATGAAGAGCACCTGGTGGCCTGACCAACTGCAGCCCTGACCAGCCAGGGGCAGCAGGCTCTGGAAAAGGCCCCAGGCTGCTGGGGAGCCACTGTTGGGAAAACCACTGCTGGGAAAACCACGGACCAAGCTCAAATGGGATGGGTGTGATGCTGGCAGAGGTGCAGGCTGCCAGCAGCCATCGTCCCGGAGCCCACCACTCACTCCCTGGTGTCCCTGGGCAGCAGCGCTCTGACTCCATTGACTGCAGAGCTCCTCCTGACCCTGGAGACTCAGCCTCCAGCTGGCACCAGGCTGCACTGCAGGTCCCTCATCTCTGACAGCCCTTTCACCCCCTACAGAGTAGGGGTTTCAGCACCTCCTCACTGTTCACCCAGGCCTGGTGCTGTTTCCGCTTCGGAGGCTGATCTGGCCAGACCCCCATGGCCAGGCCTGTCAAGCTGGCTTCCTCGGCTCCATTCCGTGCCCTCAGCTCTGTAAACATGGGAAAACACGTGGGAAACATTTCCACCAACCGAAGCCAAAAACACAATGTCCTGCAAGACCAGCCACCACATGCCCACGTCCAGAGGAGGCTGCAGAACCTCTGTGTCCAGGAACTGCAGGCCTGTCACGGTGGCAGGTGGCTGGAAATGACTCAGATTCAAGTCCCTGTGACTCACTGGCCACGAGAGGCATTGAAGTGTAAAATTTAAAGTTGTTACAGAGGCTCCTGTGTTCCTAGCTGGTAAACACTGGGGAAATTCCTGTGGGAATCTGGCCTTGGTTGCTACAGAGACTGAGACAGCCATCTTGGGCCTGCCACATGGTTCACCTGTTGGCATTTTTACTCACTGGCCCCATTGATATTGGTCTCTTTTATGTTGTAAGTGGCAAATTTACAATATCTGTGGAACACCAGCCAGCCCAGGAAATTCCTACATGCCACACAGGGTGCCAGCTGTTTCTGTGAGCTGTGCTGCTGCCTGTGGAACCTCCTGCCCCAACTCAAGGACTCTGGCATGGAGCTGAAAGGGCCAGAAGCTCATGGAGCCCACTCTATCATAGTCACTGTAAGGTGTGTGACAGTGCCTACCTGTCTATTTCAAGATCACTTCAGGACTTACAATAGGCTTTCCTGGCAGACCTTGTTTTCTGGTTGATTTTCTAATGGAGTTATCACACATTGTAAATTGTGCAAAACCAACAGCTAATGAGAGATGGGCAAATAGGCTTATTCTATCAGCTCTGCCTAGTTGTTGGTAGCTGTGTTGAGACGGATTCTGAAAGTCAGCTCGGGCTCTGAGGGGAGAGCACAGTGACCCATCAGCAATGGTTACTCCTGACAGGCAGCATGTGGCATTCAGGGCCTGACAGTTAGTAGACATGTCCTTTCATTTCCTCTCATCCTCTACCTGCAGCCTCCTTGTGGAGGACCCTCCACACCCCACCCCGGCAAGAAGACCTGGGCCATGACGGGAGCAGGGAGGAAGGAACCAGAATCTACAGGTTCCCGGTGGGGAACAGGGAACTGGGAGTCAGCCCCTCCAGCCCCCATATGGGGAAATCCCCCCATGTGTTCCCCTCAGCTGCTGTTCCCATGCCTCCCTCTTCACATCCCTGCAGCGCCCATCGGCACTGAAGTCCCCACACGGGGGAGGCACCTAGCACAGATGCTGGGATGAACAAGGAATGCGCTTCACTTGTGAGAGATCCGAGATGATTCCTTAAAAGTCACCTATCATTTGACCAATTTGTTCACCAGCAATTTCAAGATCCTTCTTACCCCTTACCCTGGCTGCTCAAGGGGGACATTTGAAGTGTACTTGGGGTCTCAGGTTTTTGTATTTTAACAAATAGTTAAAATAGAATAGAAGATATTGCTTTTACTTACTTAACATGCAGGTATATATTTAGGTAAAGAGGATTTTTCTAATGGAAATCAATTGGTATTTATTAAACATTTCCAGTTGCGAATGTGTGGGCCTCTGTTAGAATCTAACAATGGCTAAGAGCCGTGCATGGAAAGAGGCTGGAAGACCCTCCCGCTTGAGGACAAGGCCACAGTTGGTCTCCTCCTGGAGGGATAGGCCTAGAGACTCCTTAGTCCAGGCTCCCCAACACTGGCCTCGCCCCACCCCCACAGTGGGCACAGAGTCGTGTACCCTAGAGGACGTGCCCAGGGTGCTGGGGTCTACCAGTGCCCTCCATTGAGGTGACACCTAGGGAGGAGGGAGTTGGGGTGGGGCCCATGGGGCATGCAGGGAGCATGAAGGGGGCTGGATTCCTGCCTTGTGCCCTCCCCAGAGTTGGAGGGGAAAGGATCATGGCAGCCCGCAGTGACCAGTCCCCCACCTGGCCCTACTCCTAGAACTCAGGAGATGGTGCAGCTGCTTCTCCCACACTCACTTGATGTGGAAGCCCTGGCCCATGAAGTTCAGCAGGCCCCAGCATCGACTTTGAATAGGAGTCCCAGCTCTGTCCCCAATCAGCTCTGTCCCCTGTCAACCCTGCACAGGCTCTTTACGCCTTGGTTTCCTTGTCTATAAAGTGAGGTGACCTTAGCCCCAGAAGGTCCTGGTGAGGTATCACCCAGGCTGGGGCCAGAGGCACTCAGCCAGCAGTGGCAACATTCAGCCTGTAACCACCACAGCTCCGGGACTGCCATGTTTGTCCCCCTGCCACCATCCCCAACTTGAAGAGCAGTCTTGGCCACAGTTCCGTGGGGCCAGGGTACTCGAGAGGATCAGCCCCTGAGGCCAGCCTGTTGAAGGCAGCACTAATCTGAGGTGTTTCCAAGGAGAGGGTGATTCTTGGGGTCTCTCTCTAGGTCCTGGATATCAATGAGAAGTCTGGATATCAATGAGAACTTGGAGGTAACCTTCAGGCCTGGTCCCTGGAGGGGACAGATGCTCAGAGCCACCTCATGGATCCTGTATCAGGACATCCTGCTCCCCCATGTGTGGCTCCTCAGGTAGCCTCAGAGTCCTCCACAGACTGACCCTGCCTCTCCCCACCCCCTCCAGTGGGCAGAGGGAGCAGATCTACCTGTGACTTCTGAATGCCAGGAGACCCTCCCACACACACAAGGCTGGAAGGCAGGCGGGGCCCGGCTCCTCTCTGAGACAGAACACAAAATCCCTACGGATTCCTGCTACCCTTGAGACTCTCACTGAGGAATGTGGGATATGCCAGGGTGTTGAAGCATCCCATCCAGTGTCTCACCAGGAAGCTCTGACAGGTCTGAAGTGCTTGGGTTCTGGGTGTGCCAACCTTCCCAGGCATCTAAGGACAGTACTGCAAGACAGGCAGGGAGAGGGCAGGTAGAGGGAAGGCTCCACCGGAGGCCTTGGAGAAGGGCCACACTGAGAACACAGTTAGTGGTACCCAAAGACAGGCCAGGAAGGAGGGTGTGGGGTTGGGGGGAACCAAGGAGCCAGACCCAGCCCTTCAAAGCACCCCAGGCTTGAGGCAGGCACAGTCCCCATGTTGGCCACAGTTGGAGCAGGAAGTAGTCCAGCTGCCACCAGGTGCACTGCTTATTTGGGCTTCTAAAACATTCGTATTTTCAAATGATTGGAAAAAAACAGCAGAGAAACATAAAGAAAAACAACCGCTGCCTGCAATCCATGAGCTGCAGAGACCTGAGGTGAAATTGGTCTGTCCTTTTCCCAGCACTCATGGGCTTAGGATGGCTGAGGGCCTCGCATATAAGTGACTTGGAATACTTTCTTACAACCTTTGCTTGACCATGTACCATTAGCGTTTTCCTGTGTCATTAGAGCAGCCTCAGAAGCATGGCTTTGCTGTGGAAGTTCTGGATACACGGTGGACCTGGGCCTCCTAAAAGGCCCTCCCTGCTGACTGTCCCTGCTGCTGCCCTGAAGCACACAGGGAATGAGGCTCTGACCTGGCACTGGGGAGATGTGCAGGAGGCAGGGGCTCTGGGGGTGGCCAGAGTCCATCTGTAATGGTATTTCCAGCTCCTCTCTGCTTTCTTTGAATAAAGCAGCAGTGAACACCTGGGAAGTCAAGGCTGAGCCCCTCTCTGATAGTTCCCTAAGGTCAACAGCAGAGGCCCAGTGTGTGCGGGCTCATGTACCCAAGAGGAGGTGGCTCAGGGCAGGCTGCACAGCCCTTTCAGTAGGTCAGCTGTACCTAGACCCTAACCAGCCTTACAAGGCAGTGCCCAGGTGAGATGGATGGGGTGGGGGGGTCGTGCATCTACAGGAAGTAAACCCTACCTGCCCCTCAGATCCCACTACCTCCCCAGCCTCATCCTGGAGCAGGTGAAGTTCACCTAGGGCCAGGGCTTCTGGTTGTACCCACATTGTGGGATCAGCTGCTCTGGGGGGGGGGAGAATTGTGCTCTGACACTTCTGGGAGGGAAGGAGAGAAAGTTAGGAGGTGGTGTGCAGCCAGCCAACCACTAGCAGCCCAGGTCTCAAGGTCCTTCCCCTAGAACCCCTGCCCCAGCCCTCAGGACCAGCCCACCAGGCTCAGGGGCGGGTGGGGGAGGGCACTCCCACCTTGGCTGCATGGAGCCCCAAGTCCTGGGGCATCCTGAGGGCAGCTCCCGGGGCTCCCCCATCTAAATTGCACACACACTCAGGCCCTAAATTAAAATGTCACAGGCCTGTTGGGGAGGCTCAAGTTTCCTGGCCACAGAACATGAGCCTGCTTGATAAAACAATTTTGGTTTTGATAAATGTGGATTTTCTGTGGCAGAGACAAAGGCGCCCTTGAGTCCAGAGGGAAACCTAAAACAGCACATTGCTGAAAAGTATTTCCTGATAATATTTTTAGCACCTGAAAAAAACATTTTTTTCTCTTTTTTGCCTGTGGAGTTGTGTGTGTGTGCGTGTGTGTTAATAGTGAAATGTAATGCCCAGCAGCAATGGGGCCTTATGTTAACCCCTGCTTTCCCAGGCCCGGCTGAAAATCTGCACAGGGCGCAGACTGTGGAGAGCCAGTAAGGCGTGGACTCAAGGAAGCATGGCCTCTCTAGGGTCAAGACCAGAGGGTCTGACCTGCTGCTAGCCCTACCCCAGACCCATGAGCTCAGCCTCTTTGGGATGCGGCCTGGGCTTGAGCATCTCACAGTGCTGCTCAGGGAATTCTACTGTGCAGCCAGGCAGGACACCGCCTAGGCCACCACTGCATGCTGCCTGGAGAAACAGCCCTCCTCCCTAAGCACCTACTGAGCCCATTGTGTGTCCCGGGGTACACTGGGCCATGGGGCAGCTCTGTCCCCAAAGGCCCCCAGGTAGACTCAAATCCAGCCCAGAAATGAGCCTTGACTAAGTCCCCTGTGGCAAGTGATTAGGAGAAGGTTGATAGTGCTGAGAAGGGCATCTGTGGTTTAGGGAGCCTGCCTGGAGGCCTGCTTTGAGGCAGTGCCCTGGGCAGAGCTCTGAGGGCAGAGCAGGGGTATGCAGTGGGAAGAGGATGGGGAGTGGGGGCAGGACAGGAGGTAGGTGGAGGGCAGGACCCTTTGGTGTTGTGTGGGCAGGAAGACAAGTACTTCATGCCCCCAAGATGGCGCTTCTTTAGCTGGAGTCATACTCCAGGGGTTGGCGCTGCCGCCTGCCCTTCCACACAAGGAAACTGACAGGAAGGCTTTCTAGCCATGACCCAAGCCCGCCACAAAGTAGGTAGAGAGTTGCTAGGCTTTCACAGAAAAAAGACAAAATAAAAATCATCATCCTGGGCTCCAACCACAGTGACTGAGCCTCCCAACAGCTCTGTTCTCAAGACTGCCCCAAGGAGATGAGCCACAGCTGGGCATGAGGAAGGGGTTAAAGCAAGTTCCTGAGGCTCCGTGTGTGTGCGCATGTGCCAGTGTATGTGTGAGCACTGTCCCCATATGTGAATGAGTGTGTGTGTGTGTGTGTGTGTGTGTGTGTGTGTGCATGTGTGTATGTGAGTGGGAGTGAGTGGAGGCGTGCCTCCCCTCCCAGGTCCTCCCTGAGAGCTGGCTTCAGGTCAGGATTCCACAGTTACATGTCTTCTCCGATTTTCCCTCCAAAGATGGGAGGCCCTGACCTTTCTGATTCTTCATTTCTTGGAACCATAGTTGTGCTGCTGTCCTGTGGATCTCAAAGCCAGGAGCCTGGTTTAAGGGCTAACTGTGGGATAGAGCCTTCCTTTCACCACCCTCAGCCTCAGTTTAACCCTCTGCAAACAGGGTCAGCATGGTGGGACTAGGCCAGGCAGATGTTGCACCAGGTGCACATTTTAAAGAGGTACCCGTTCTCAGGGCCATTCCAGTGCAGAGTTGGTTCTGACACTGTGCCCCTCCTCAAATTCTGCACCTGGCCCTGAGACTGAGTCTAAAGAATTGTGAACATCAGAGTGAAAACGCCAAGCACAGATCTATGTAAACCAGTAATGCACAGAGTTATGCATGGAAAATTCCTCTACTGTTTCTTAAAAAACACATGTAGGCCGGGTGTGGTATCCCATACCTGTAATTCTAGTACTTTGGGTGGCTGAGGTGGGAGGAGGAGGATTGCTTGAGCCTAGGAGTCAAAGACTAGCTTGGGCAACATAGCAAGACCTTTTATCTACAAAAAAAATTAGCCAGGTGTGGTGGTGTGCACCTGTGTTCCATCTACTTTGGAGATTGTGGCAAAAGAATTGCCTGAGCCGAGAAGGTCAAGGCTGTGGCGAGCTGTGATCGTGTCACTGCACTCCAGCCCGGGCAACAGAGTGAGACCCCGACACCCCCTCCCCCCAAAAAGCCATGTATCTTACTCTCACTGCAAAACAACACCTGCTCATTGGAGACATTTTAGATAACGCAGACACATAGGCAAACATAAAACCACCCAGAACCTCAGTGGTAGCTGCTGTTACTGTCCTGACCTTTTCTGTTTGTCTTTGAGAGGTGCACTCTTGTCTTTGGGGGCCTCTGGCATGGCTTGTGGTTATATATCGCTCATCCCCAGATCTGAGAGCAGAGAGGAAGGTGAGCCAACTGGGCCCCAGGAGTCAGGCCCTGCACTAGGCTGGGGGGTCACAGAGGTGGACCAGATTGGGTCTCCTGATGAAAGGCAGACACTCACAGAGCAATGCTCCAGCTGAGCAGCCATGAGGCAGGTAGAAGGGCTGAGAAGGTCACAGGATGGGGACACTGAATTAGAATTGTGGGCACTCAGGGCCCTGCCCCCTCCTGCCAAGCCCAGTGTCACCTATCCACTTGCCCACAGGGCTTGAATCGACCAGTCTTCCCCCATGGAGGGGGTCTGCTTTACCCAGGGATCCACCAGAGCATTTTCTTGCTGTGATATTCCCTTGGGTCCCTGAACCTGCCCTAGAATTTCACCAGATGTGGCCATACTGGGTGGAAATACTTTAATGCCTTGAAGTTTCCCAGGCCCAGGGTTCATCCTCACATAAAGCCAGAGAAGGAGTAGATACTGAGGACAGCCTACTCCTGTGGCCAGAAGCCCTGTGTCCCCAGGCTCAGGGCTGGAAGTGGGCCTCATGGAATGGGCCTCTGGCCACTTTGAGAAAGGTCCATGCAGGCTGTGCTCAGCCTGGGTGGCCCCTGACTCACGACATTCTCTCAGGACCGTGACCGGGTCCCTGACTGAGCAGGGACCTGAGAGAGCACCCAGGAAGCCTGCCCTCCTTCCTCCCACCTCTCCCACTCCCCTCCCCTATGCCCAGCATTTTGAAAAATGGGTCAGTCCCAGAACTGCTCTGTGGGTCCAGGAGCCCCTCTGGGCCAGTCCCAGGATGGTGGTTAGGGACCCAAGGAGAAGGGGAACAACCCCTGCAGAGCCCTCACCTCCCGGGTTCCCTGGCTGGGGGATCTCTAGGTGTGCAAAGACCGCGGACTGGGCCTCCCGGTGCGCCCCCGTCCTCCCGCGGGGCCTGGAGCTTTAAGAGTCACCTTATTTGCATGGCCCCGCCCCCGCCCCGCCCCGGCCGAGTGGCCGTCCGGGCTGGATATTTAAATCGCGACCTCAGGGGCGGGGCCGGCCCCGATCGCGGTCCTGCCCGGCGCCTTCCTTCGCTGAGCTGCGGCGAGAGCGCGGCCGGGCGAG